GAGAGAGAGAGTGAAAGAGAGAGCACAAGGGGGGGTAGGGTCAGAGGGAGAAGCAGACTCCCCACCGAGCAAGGAGCCTGATGCGGAACTCGATCTCGGGACTCCGGGATCATGACCCAAGCCGAAGGCAGCCGCCCAACGAACTGAGCCACCCAGGCGCCCCTAAGCAACCGACTCTTGATTTCAGCTCAGGTCATGATCTCAGGATCTCTGGGATCGAGCCCCACATCCAGCTCTGCACTCAGCACGGAGTCTGCTTGAGATTCTTTCTCTTCCTCTCCCTCTGCCCCTCCCCCTGCTCGCACGTACTCTCTCTCTCTGAAATAAATAAATCTTTTAAAATAAAATACAAAATGAATATAAGCAACAAAGAAAGTTTATGTAAAAGGAAAGTTGAATGTTCTAAAAAACTCTCAAACAGCTAAAATAAATTGCACCTGGGGCGCCTGGGTGGCTTGTTTGGTTAAGCGTCTGCCTTCGGCTCAGGTCATGATCCCAGGGTCCTGGGATCGAGCCCCGCATAGGGCTCCCTGCTTGGCGGGAAGCCTGCTTCTCCCTTTCCCACTCCCCCTGCTTGTGTTCCCTCTCTCGCTGTGTCTCTCTCTGTCAAATAAATAAATAAAATCTTTAAGAAATAAAATAAATTGCACCTGAATTAGAGGCAAAAAAATATGTAAATAAGGAGGAAACCATGAAACTATGGATTCTGAACTTAGATTCCTTTGTAAATGCTTTAAGTTCACAATCCACTTTAAAGAAACTTGGTTTTGAGATCTTAAGACCAGTGGTTCTCCACAGGGCATTACTGACCCCTAGGGGTAGTTTTGGAAACTCGCGGGGCATTTTCGGCTGGGTTTCACAACTGGTCCTTAGTGGACGAGGCACAGGGGTGTGAGACATCCTGTAAGGGCCTGCACAACTTTGAAAAGTCTCACTATTTGTGTAGGTAAAAAGCTTGCTTTTCCCCTCAAGAAGGTGGGCTTCACATAACTGACTTCCTCTCAAAGAGCACAGGATGGAAAGGGAGTCGGTGGAGATTAACTTAACAGTGGAGAAACAACAAAAGCCACTCAGCCAAGTAATCAAGCTTCCTATCATCAGTGATACATCGTGCTGATAATCTGCACCCTTGATCAGATGTGATGAGACGCGCCCTTTACCTATACAGGCTTTCTCCTAAAAAACCATAATCCCAGTTTCATCATGAGATTAAAAAAAAATTCATATTAATAAAATCCCAACTGAGAAACACTCTGACTAGTCAGCACTCAAAACTATCAAACAACAAGGAAAACAAGTAAAGTTTAAAAACGATCACATTCTACAGGAGTCTAAGGTGACATGACGACTAAATGTAATATGGTATCCTGGATGGGATCCTGTAACAAAGGAAAGTAGCTTAAAACTAAGAAAATCTGAATAAAGTATAGACTTTGGTTAATAATAATGCATCAATGTAGTTTCATTAGTGGTAACAAATGCAGCATACTAATGTAAGATTTTAAAAATAAAGGAAATTGGGTCTGGGGTATATGGGAACTTTGCATCATTTCTGTAAATCTAAAACTATTCTAAAATTTTTAAAAATGTAAACTACAATTTTCAATTAGTAGGTAAGTCCTGGATATCTAATGTACAGGATAGTGATTATAGGCAAAAATACTGTATTATAACCTTCAAAGTCACTAAGAGACTAGATCTTAATTGTTCCCACAAAAAAGAATTTTTTTAAGATTACTTGAGAGAGAGAGCACACACATATGCAAGTAGGGGGAGAGGCAGAGGGAGAGGGAGAATCTCAAGCAGACTCCCTGCTGAGTGCAGAGCCCGACGTGGGGCTCGATCTCACCCGGAGATCACAACCCAAGCTGAAACCAAGAGTCAGACGCTTAACCAACTGAGCCATCCAGGCGCCCCAAAAGAAGTATTTATGTGACATGATAGAGGTGTTAGCTAACTCTAGTAATATTTCAATGTATAAACATATAAATGTACACAGTAAACTTACACAATGTCAATATTATTTCAGTAAAAATATTATAAAGCCACTTTTTTATTATCTGAGCCTAGAATGCCTATACTGTTACTTATATAATTTTAATATTCACTAGGGACAAACTATCCTAACAGAATATTATTCTTTTATCCAAAACTTTAGCAAGAATTTGATCACCATTTTGGAAAATGACATTTCCAACAGTAACACTATTCATGTTTTTTGAGTAGCCAATAAAACTGTTATATACACACTATGTATGTAACCTTATAGCTCTTCATGAATCATGAATTCAGTCTTTATTTAAAAATATCCAGTAGCGTTAACAGTACTTGACTGAGCAGTTTTACTTCTCCATATTCAAGAGCAAGCACCTGACTACTTCTAGTGTAGTAGTATCTAGGCATTTATATATTGAAATGCATATTTTATTACAAATTGATTTCATTTCTCCTCTCCATTACGATAAAGGCACTGGACTGACCTTTTCTGAAATTGTATAGATAGGTGAGTTATGTATGAATTTCATTTTAGGATACTGGGTGTGATCGAGGTTACAAATGTTCCCATGTTATAGTAAAAAGGGTCTGCTAAGTCTGATATGGCTGAGAACCCCAATCTTAGACCAAGCTCTTCGAGGGCAGAAAATGTCTGGTTTCTTACAGGTTCTCAACATTTCATTTCACCCTGTTGCAGTTTGTTTATGCCTGCTCAGAAGCCCTTGTTTGCTCCTCCATTTTGGCAGTCTCCATTCTGAACCAGTGCCCACCCTCCTGCAGGCAACTGGAGTAAATATGACCCTTCTAAGCCAGAGTGGTCCCATTCCCTGTGCTAGTGACTAGACACAGGTATGTGAGCCAGATGTAGTCAAGATATGAGGGGGATTCTGCTGAGGAGCTTTGGGAAAGGTTTTATAATCACTAAAGGCACAAGAGGAACAAAAGTTCTTTCACTGGACACTGTTGGATTATACATAACACCTGGAATCATGGTAGGCATCTCTGATCATGAATATTATTAGCCCAGAAAGAAAATGCTGAGAATGACAGGTTGGGAAGGAAGGAAGGAAAGCAGGGTTCTTGGTATCTCTGAACCCTCTATGAATCCAGAGTTGGGTCTTTTCTCATGACCAGCAGCAAGCATCCTAATATAACCCGTTTCACAAGCAGTTGTGTTGCTGAGGATACGTGTACACACTGCATGCAGTCCTGCTCAGAAGGCGATGTAGGGGAGCCACAGTAATTCTCTCTCAGCCATCAGCGCCTCATTCAAACCACCGTACTGTAACTGAGTCCCAGGCTTAGCTGTAAGGGTTCACAGGAGACTGCTTCTACATGGATAGTAAGCTCCACAGCCTTGTGGTCCAGTCATGGAAAACAAGAAAACCTTGTGCTCTACTACACTCTTTCATATCACCACTTCTAGGTAAGTTAATTGGGAAAAAAGTGATTTGTCCCAATCCCTCACCTGGTGATACAATATACATCCTTTCAATGCACACAGAGATGAATTTAAGGAATAAGCAAGGCCTTTTGACAAATTTTACTTAGCAAGTAGAGAAAGTTTTTTTTCCATAGAAATAAGGTTTAAATCATCTATGAATCTAATCACCCTCCCATTTGATAATTTAGTACCTAACATGTGAACTTGGTCTTCACTGGTTCCCACGACTCACCTTTTGATATTTGGTTTTCCTTCTTTGTACTTTTTCTACCACATTCCTTTATCCCTATTTACTCTTTCCCCCTTTTCCACACTTCCTTATCCATAGAAACTATCTGTTTTGCAGGACAGACAGAATGACAGCTTCCCGGTTCAGAACGAGCCTGCAAGCCCTTTCAAATCATTGCAGGTTTTTTGTTTTTTTTTTAAAGATTTATCTATTCTAGAGAGACAGTGTGTGCGCACATGAGAGTGGGGGGGGAAGGGCAGAGGGAAGGAATCTTCAAGCAGACTCCCTGCTAAGTGCAGAGGTGACTTGGGGCTCGATCCAGGACCCATGAGATCAGGACCTGAGCTGAAACAAAGAGTCGGATGCCCAACTGACTGAGCCACCCAGGTGCCCCATTTCAGGCTCTTTTTTAAAAAGAATATGCTGGACAGTTCACAAATGAAACAGTCTTATTTGAAATTTTATTTTATTTCCGTCTATAAGTACTGCTATTTGTTTGAATTGCTCACATAATCCATTCCATCCAAAAAGGAAATGTCAAGTGCTTCTAGCAGTGTAAGCATCGTCGGCACAGCCTACCCAAAGGTCTTCCGAAAATCTAAATGTTAGGCAAACCACAAACTGGATGTTCTTATTTCTGTGGGCCATGAGATTGTCAAAATCAGTTTGATTTTTTAAAACCCATCAAATATCAATCATGGCAAGGAAGACCATTGAACTGATTCCTGATAACCCAGTAATGTTATCACTGAACATCATTTATCCTAAATGATTACTGGCATCAGGAAGACCTTGGGGTAGGAGCTCTTCACAAGTGACACAGGCACGGCTTGTCCAGGAATTAGCAGGTGTCCCCAGAACAGTTGTGTGCTACAGACTTCTTTTACTGCCCCTTCCCTCTTTTCAGTGCTCAGTCCCTACGACTGAGAGGACCACGTTCGAACTCACCGAGGTTTTCACAGCAGAGGCGAGTGGAGGAGGTCTTGTGAGGTACTAATTTGTGAAGTGCAATCTAAATACTAAAAATGAGGATCAGATCTCGATTACTTGAGCCCATTTATATTGCCTTAACTCATTAAAGTTATTTTACATGTCTAGCCTGCCTTCTTTCTCACAGGATAGAGGATAGCTGGGAGGATTAAATGAGGTATGTGACAGCCTAGCCCAGTGTCTGTATACCCAGTAAATATTCTTCCCATCCACCGCCCCATCCCCAAATAAAGAGGTTAGTCCTTGAACTTTGAAAGTACTTTGTAAGTAAGAAGAAATTAGTTTTTCTATCAACATCCTTGTCAGTCTGATTCTGACTTGCTATTTGAAGTATACATGAGGTTTCATTTTTGTTCAGTGTTCTTTACTTTTCATTGAGAAAACTTATTTCTGAGGAACTGAAACACCTGAAGGTAACCACAACAAAATCTTGTTAATTTTTTTTTGAGAATGATGATTCAAAGGCAGACTTGTAGAGAAATCACATTTAGGAGAAAGAAGGCAAATGCAGCCTCTGAAGGGAATTGTTCTAATTATTACCTTAAAAAGTAAAGTTATTTAACACATTCAAGGACATAAGGCAAAGCATTACTTTAAAATCACAATGACTGAACAGTTAGGTGAAAAACATAGCTGAAATAGGAAAGAGGAATGGACTTCAGAATAATCTTAATTGGGACAATGATTCTTCAGTCCTAGATGTTTCTGTTATCTGAATATCTTGAATCACACCATTTCCTTTTTTACCTCCCACAAGGTCTTCACTGAAATCGCAAAGCAGTATTCTCACAGAACTAAATAATAGTTGTCATTTTGTTAGGATTCAAAATTTCAATCCAGTAGCCATCGGGATCTTGGATAAATGCCAGGCCTTTCATTTTACCTGTAAGATGAAATGAATTTCATTATAAAAGAGACTTTTTTAAAATCTAAAATTAATATATATATTTATATATATATTTTAAGATTTTATTTATTTGACAGAGAGAGACACAGCGAGAGAGGGAACACAAGCAGGGGGAATGGGAGAGGGAGAAGCAGGCTTCCTGCGGAGCAGGGAGCCCGATGCGGGGCTCGATCCCAGGACCCTGGGATCGTGACCTAAGCCGAAGGCAGACGCTTAACAACTGAGCTACCCAGGTGCCCCTAAAATTAATATTTTTTATTAATCCAAATGTTAATTTGCATTTTGACAAAGTACATTATTTTGTTTATAGTTTTTTAATTTTTTGTTATGTTAATCACCATACATTACATCATTAGTTTTTGATGTAGTGTTCCATGATTCATTGTTTGCGTATAACACCCAGTGCTCCATGCAGAACGTGCCCTCTTTAATACCCATCACCATGCTCACCCATCCTCCCACCCCCCTCCCCTCTAGAACCCTCAGTTTGTTTTTCAGAGTCCATTGTCTCTCATGGTTCATCTCTATTTTGTTTATAGTTTTAACTTTAGACAATTCTATTGTCAGTGTTGCCCAAATGCATGCTTTTCAGAACGACTAACACGTATCTTCTACACATAGCTGGGAACCAGCTCTCCTGAAATAAACTGTGTAACTGGCTGCAGTTATAAGCATCAGATTTTTACTTCACCTTCATGATGAATTTCATGCTACCTGTTGAGTAGTCAAAGAGATTGTCTTATTTTACTTTTTTAAGATTTTATTATTTGAGAGAGAGAGAGAGTGTGTGCAAGCAGGGGGAGGGGCAGAAGGAAAGGGAGAGAATCTCAAGCAGACTCCCATGCTGACAATGGAGCCTGATGCAGGGCTTGATCCCAGGACTCTGAGATCATGACCTGAGCCAAAACCAAGAGTCAGATGCTTAACTGACTGAGCCACCCAGGCACCCCGGGAGGCTGTCTTACTTTAAACAGGAAAAGAGAATAGGGAGGTGTTCGAGCAGGTAGCATGGCATACCCACACAGCCAAAAGACCCAGAGGCTTGGGTCATAACGAACTCTTTAAACACTATTCTAGGTCACTCAAGCTGTCAATCAGTCTTTCTCCCAGGAATTCACAACTGGGATTGAGAGGCTAATAGGTCTAGTAGTAGAGTTGTTTGCTTAAATGGAAAAATTGACCTCAGCAATCTATTTTGGGACCAAGATTTTAAATTAGTTTGACTCCTATCTCTCTCTGGCTCTTTTCCCTAAGATCAACCCCAGAGGAACATATATGGAAAATGAAAAAAAAAAAAAAAAAAAAAAAGTGAGAACTGGGGTGATGACTGGGGAGAGGAAGAAGTGGGGATGGGGTGACTGTTTTAACCTGGTCCGTGTGGAAATGGGTAGTTTGGGCCTGGACCAGAAGGCAGTCCATCATGGCCGTGGGAGAATAAACAGAAGGGGATTTGTTACTTTGGGTCTTGCTCCTCCCAGTGCCTTGGGCATCAGCTCCTGCCCCCACACCAGGGGGGTTCACACGACTAGTTCCGATGCCCTCAGGAGTAAATGAGGGCAGCACAGAAGTCTTACACCTGTGAGGAACTGACAAAAACAGGTGAGAACCAACCGATCTCCCCAGCCTTCACTTTTCACACAATCAGGGTTAGGGAATGAGCATCTCAGAAGGAAGTGTCTCCTACGAAGACTCCTTCTCTCTGAGGGACAGAGGGGAAGAAGATGTGACGGAAGAGCTGTTCTGCAGAATGCAAGGTGTTTAACTCTCGTTTTCAGGGGCCTACCTAGGGATCTCTGCCTGGCTCATCTTCCTGAGAGCATTTAAAGACTGGGGTCTAGCCTCCCCCCTTTCACACTGCCTGATGCACTGGAATAGTAAGAGTTGCAATGACAACAACTCCTCAGAGATCAAAGTAACAAGAACTTGAGGAACATAACCATAAAACAAATGGATTATAGATTCAAACAGAAGAACAAATATTAAACCAACAGACCAAGAGCTATTAAAACACGTAAAAGTGATGAATAGTATGAACTATAACCAATATGAAACAAGAACAAGAAAATATTTAAGGAACTGAGCAAAAACTAGGGATCAAAATTATAATAGCTGAAATTAAGAATACAATAGATGAGAACACAAAAGATGACTATCAGAACAGATACATTTGAGGAAAAATTAGCTAATTGGTATGCTACTGTGAGGAAATCTACAAAGAACAAAGAAATAACAAATATAACAAAAGCTTCCAGAACAAAACAGAAGATAACCTGAATCAGCAGATTTTTCAATAGCAACACCGGATAGAAAAATAAGACCATGGAGTTGTATTTTCAAGATCAAAGGAGAATAAACCTAAGATTTTATATTCAACAAAATTGCCATTCATATACAAAGATATGGGTCTGAGGCATACAAAGTCTCAAAAGTTTTGCCTCACAAAAAACCCTCTGAAAACAGTTTTGGTTGAGATACTTAATAGAAAGACAGAAAAACCCAAAAGATGCTGCAAGAGATACACAGAGAAAAGGACTTTGATATATATATTAAAAAAAAAAAGCCAAGGCCAGGGGGCACCTGGCTGGCTCAGTTAATAGAGCATGCAACTCTTGACTCGGGGTTGTAAGTTTGAGCCCTAGGTTGGGTGTAGAGATAACTTAAAAATAAAAAATAAAATAAAAGCCAAGGCCAAAGAAAAAGAAAAAATTAATCAGTAATATCCCAGTCTGGGAGGGTATCTGGATATCAAATCTCTTAATTGAAAAAAAGAAAAGGATTAAAATGAAATGTGAAATGTTTCAAATAAAAATTGAAATAATATGCTGGCAGAAAGAGATCTAAGTAGAATAATTATAATACATATAAATCCAACAAAATCTAGATATATACACTACTTCTAGACATACACCTAAAACATAAGGACATGCAAAGGTTGTAGAAGAATAAAAATCAAAGACCAGCCATTTATTAACTAAGGAGATGTGGTGTCATTATATTAAAATCAGATAACACAGGCTTTAAGGAACTTATTTTGGGGTGGCTAGATACACCCTGAAATAGTGAAAACCAGGGGCCAGTGAGAGAATATGGTAAGGTCAAAGGGTGGGGAGAGAGCCTAGGTTTTTGATGGCTGTCCAGACTCTGCATCTAGTCCCTTGTCAAGCTGCCCTACTTGCTGTTTTAGTTCCCTAAGATACCTGGGTATTTTTCCATTCCTCTGTTCTCCTTATGCTGGCTGAAGTGGACTTCTTCAAAGTTACTTGCAACCAGAGGGACTGACTACAACAGTAGCCTCCGTGGTTGCTTCGTAAATGTTATGTAACTGAAGAGAAGCCAGGAGAAAGCAAGCAGCAAACTCACCATCATCAGGTTTCTTCACAAATTTGACTCCCAGCTCTTCAAATCTTTTACAAGCACCGTGTACATCAGGAACAGCGATTCCAATGTGACCTTAGGGGGCCACCCCCAAAACAAGGCAGACAGAAGGAAGAAATAATTACTGCAGGGTATCCAAGGGCCACAACTAGCTTCCAAAACTAGTTTATTTCAAAACATTAAGGCACCTGAAAAGTGACTGAATCAAGTAAGTTCAAAACTTGTATTAAAGAACAAGAATCTAACTGGCTGCATATAATAAGCTAATTAGTAGCTCTGAGTTATAAATTATTTAAAATAAGCCCAATATTGGGCTCATGTATAGTTCAATCTGTTAAGAATAACTACCAAGAAAAAGTAATCATTTACTCATACTTAATAGGTTTGTTGTGGCCTCTGACTATATAGCAGCCAATTTAAGCCTGTATTCCTGTCATCTTGACTGAGAGGTTCTAGATCAGGACAGAAGTATATGCTAGCAGAAATGGGGGGTTATTATCAACCACAGTTTTGTTTTTTTTAATTAAAAAGTCTACTGGAAATATAATACTGAGACTGAAAAGTGAAATCATTGTGAGAGAGTAAATGTAGGGTTTAGATGGATACTATGAAATTAACTCCTAAATCAAATTTTTCATGGAAAATTAAAACAACTATACTCCTAAGAAGTCGATTATTCTTAATAAGTATTAATACTTAATAAGTATTCTTAATAAGTACCTAATGCACAAATCACACAAATCACACCTAAAATAAATCACACAAATCCATGTATACTACATAGGAACAGGCCAACATACCAAACCCTCGAGGGTCTGAGTTGCCACTGTGGTAACTCTGGGTCTCATCACCTTCTGTGCCCCAATTGCTACAAAAGGAGGGAAAAGAGCATTACAAGTGACCTGTAGAACAGATACTCTACTGCAATAATCTCTCTGAAATCTTGGCATGTATGTATGCAACTTCATATACTTGGTTTCATCTTTGCTACTATAAATATTAAGGTTTCAGCTATAGAAAAGGCAAATGCATAAAATATGATTTTAATTAGACTTGAGATAAAACCAAGCATCTGGATAACAATAATGATAACAGTAGCAACTGTCATTTATTGTACTTTATAGAGGGCATTTATTTGTTTGAGGATCTCATTAAATCTTCCAAACAGCTCCATGGGCTAAGATTCAAGTCTCCATTTCATGAAGAAGACTGCCACTTAAGGGGGTGACAGAACATGTTCAGGGTCGCAGAGCTATCAGAGCCAACACTCATGTCTAGGTCTGTCTAATTCCAGAGCTGTTCTGAGTCAGGGACACACTAAATCACACACCCTGAAATAAATGCTCTTTTGTTAGTTGTTCCAAAGGACACAGAAACAACATAAAGAATAAAAACAACATTCCTAAAATGTTGGAATTAAGACCTTAGTTCTAGTAGTGTCTAAATTCATTAGTTATCATTTGGCAAGTTATCTTGCCAATTTTGTCTTACTTATATTCTCTATCCAAAAGATAATGATCTCACTTACCCCTAACTATGCACCAGAACAAGACAAAGACCAAAAATCCATCATAAAAGACTCAGGCTGTTACAAATGCAAAGTGATTAAGGAGACCTGGTTTGAATTAAGCTTGTAAGTAAGGAAAAAAGGTTTATAAAAATGTAGACTGTACAGAAAGATAAAAACTGATACTCACTGTGTCAGTTCAAGGGTAGCTTTCCTGGAGAATACCCATGCTACTTTTTCATCTTTATCTTTTGGGATGTCATTTTTTTCCTCATAAGCCAAGAAATAGAGTGAGAATTTCATAGTGGGAAAATCTAATTTTTGGAGTAGCCTGAAATTAAACAACAAGCTGAAATCAATTAATAACAGGAAAGATTGTTTTATTAAAACATATTCATATTAAAATCAACATGACAATATTCAAGTTCTACTAAGAATATGAGCCTATTTAATAGGAAAAGCAGGGGGAAATCAATGAAAATATCTCACTGAAAAAACCTATTCAACTGTAAATATAAGTGAAATAAAAAAGTTTTTACAAAATAAACTTTTATAATTCTTCAAACATAATGAAATTTAGCTGGAATTATGGTACTTGTTTATAAATGGGAAAAGGTATCTTCAGAAGAAAATTCTGTCCATTTTTGGTGAAAAATACAATGCATTGCCTTATTGTTCTTTCAGATATATGACATTCAGTTAAATAAAATATCTTATTATGCCAAAACTCCTAGGAATAGAAAGTGAGGATAGACAGATGAATATCACAGAAGATGTGAATGTCAACAATACAGTGGTTAACCATATGAAATACTGCAGAAAGGTCACACAGCATTAAGACTGTGAACAGGTGACTAGATATGGAAAGGTCCTGAGGGCAGTTTCAGTAGCATGGGGCAGCAGAAGGTGGACTTCCCTGATGGAGACAAGGGGAGGTGAGCAAGCACAGTTGACCTATATAGACGATGGGTGATAATGGGAAATAGGGCAAGAATTATGCTAGAATAAAGGTTTCAGCTTGTTTGTAGGTTGAGGGAAAAGAGCCAGTGGAAAGGGAGAGACTGAGAAGAGACAAAGAGTGAATGAATTACCAATCCTAAAGTTTTAAAAAAGATAGTTGAAGGGGTGCCTGGGTGGCTCAGTCAAGAGTCCAACTCTTTTTTTTTTTTTTAAGATTTTATTTATTTATTTGACAGAGAGATAGAGAACACAAGCAGAGAGAGCAGCAAACAGAGGGAGAGGGAGAAGCAGGCTCTCCGCTGAGCAGGGAGCCAGACGTGGGCTCGATCCCAAGACCCCAGGATCACGACCTGAGCCGAAGGTAGCCGCTTAACCAACTGAGCCACCCAGGTGCCCCAAGCGTCCAACTCTTGATTTGGGCTCAGGTCATGATCTCAGGGTCGGGAGATCGAGCCCTGCATGGGGCTCCATACTGGACATGGAGCCTGCTTAAGATTCTCTCTCTCCCTCTCCTTCTGCCCCTCCCCCCCCCAAAAAAGATAGTTGAAGTCATGGCCTATAAAGTGAATTTAAATTATTTTGCAAGGAGTAGGGTAGAAATGAGGATGGACACAATACGGTTTTATTTAGATTATTGAGGACTAAATGCTCAAAGATGACCTTATTCATAATCAATAAGAGAGAACAGCTGAAGCCTACCTAGCAAATGGAAAGTTTCTAAGCTCTATTTCAAATCTTTTAACTATCACTGCTATGTAAAACACCTTGGCCCACTGAGACAGCACTGACTTACCACAAGTAAGATTTACTCTAACATGTTTATAATAAAGTATCGAACACCTCAAATACTCCAGCCATGAAAGCCTATCTCTGCACCTACTAAAGCAGACTGCACAAGCCTTACACACCAATCTGGTGGGAACTGGAGCAAATGAACCTGTTGTAATGCGCTTTTCTCAGCGAGCATATCTTTCAGTATAATGTCAAATTGCACCCTGTTTGGGGGCTCTTGAAAAACAAGGTCAACACTGGAGTCGATCAGATCTGGATTCGAATTCCCCCTCTGCCATTCATCCATTGTGGCATTTGGGGCCAGTAACTTAATGTCTTTAAACTTTGGTTTCTTCCTTCATCTGTAAAATGGGGAATAAACTATTTCATGAGCTACTGTGGAGACTGAATGAAAAATATGTAAGGTGCCTGGCAAATACCGAATGTTCAATGTATTTGTTTTTTGGGGCTTTTTTTTTTTTAAAGATTTTATTTATTTATTTGACAGAGACACAGCCAGAAAGGGAACACAAGCAGGGGGAGTGGGAGAGGGAGAAGCAGGCTTCCCGCTGAGCAGGGAGCCCTATGTGGGGCTCGATCCAAGGACCCTGGGATCATGACCTGAGCTGAAGGCAGATGCCTAACGACTGAGCCACCCAGGCACCCACAATGTATTTGTTTTCATTCTGTCTTTTAAATATAAAAAATAAATAAACATTTGCTAAACTGCTTTTTCTGGAAAAAACTATAAGAAATTGTTAACAGCAGTTATCTTTGGGGACAAGGACTGGGAAAGGGAGGCGGCCACTTTTTATTTTGTATTTTTCTGAACTGGTCAGATTTTCTAAACAAACATATACTGTATTACTTGAATTTTTCTCTCAATGTCAATGGAGGTTATCCAGGCAGTCAGTTTAAAATTTAATTTTATTCTTTATGTATCTATCTTGTCAGAAACAAACAAAACCCCTCATGTTATTCAGGGAAACAAATCAAGAAAAATAAACAAATATGCTTTAAGGATTACAAGATCAGTGGATATCACCTGTTCAGCAAATAAGAATACATCCTATAAAAAATGAGACAGACGGCCAATTTCAGGTAAACTCATTCATTTTCTAAGTAATTCATCTTTATAACTATATCTTTTCCAAAGTAAATAAGAGGACATAACATTAAAAGGATTTGAACACATTAAGGATTAAACAGCTCTCAGAGAGAAAGGAGTGAGAGAACACCCCAGTACTCAGCCAGCGAGCCTAGTCCCAGACGCCGGGCCGAAAGGACTTCTGTGATTTTTGAAGAAAAGTTTAATCCATTTTTTAAATGGATCCAGAAACATTCCCTATATTTGCAAAGCTATGCATTTAACCATTACAGGCGCCAATAAATAGTTTACTTACGTCATTCCAAGGACTCTAGTATAAAAATCCAATGACTTCTTAGGATCCTTAATTCGTAGCATGGTCTGCTGCAACAGAAAATCCTAAGGAGAAACAGTGCCTATTAAACAGGTGTGATATCTGGCACTTAATTGTGCTTTCTATTGCAAGATACGGTCAGCCTTTGTAACACAATGTTTCAGAAGAAAGCAACTTTGTCCCCTCAGCCTTACCTGGTCTCCACACCTACCACTTACACTGCCTACAGCTCTCTGCCCAAGGATATTTCCTGGTCATAAGAACAGGCCCCTGTGTGGGACAGGCCCAAAGTGCCAGGGAGTTCACACCCTCCAAATGACCCTCAACCAACAGTGGATAAAAAACCTGGCTCCCCTGGCCCTTAGTGGGACAGTTCTACAGCGTGTTCCACACAGCCTCTCAGAGACTTCCCTGCAGGATTAAAGCCCAGTTGCTCTCAGGGGTAATCCACTTCTACATACTTTTTATTGCCTCCGTTCCCCACTCCACAGAACTTTCTCTGACTACCTCCCAAATAAACTACTTACAACCAAATCCTTATATCCAGTCCGCTTTTGGATGACCCAAAATGAGATAGTGATGTTACAAATAAAGAATACAATTACTGTAAAATGTGTTAAATGAATGCATAAATGCCTTTCCAGAACTATTTATTGGTAACCATAGCAAGAAGTTACTCACAAGATCCTAGACTCTAAATAACTAAAAGGGTAAAAAGTTACTGTCTCTAAAACCATTGTGAAACTGTCCAATTCACAAATCAGGAAACAAAAGGCTTGACTTCACTGAGAAAAAGGTAGACTATTTTAATTCATATAGTTAAGATTCTTAATGGCATTAGTAATAATACTTTGCCTTCATTTGGTACAGTAACCATGAAGTATTACTATCTATAGGTATCAATGGCCCCATTTTATAGATGAGAAACACACCCAAGGTGATTAAATTAATTGTCCCAGCCTTCTTATTCTAAGTTCAGGTCTCTTTCTACCATAGATGCCTTCCAAACCATGAGTCCATTAACTACATTGTGCTTCCTAACAGATTTTTTTCCTGTTATACCCACAGCTTGACAAAACAGGCCTGAAAATTCTGAACTCTCCCTTTGCAGACACACAGACATCTCTCCCCTATAACTCATATAAAATACAAGTGTATTTTTACTCATTCAGCATCATTAGGAAGTGTTTTCTATTTTGTTAATTTTTTTTAAGATTTTATTTGTTTATCGGAGAGAGAGAGAAAAAGCACAAGCAGGGGGAGCAGCAGGAAGAGGGAGAAGTAGGTTCCCCGCTCAGCAAGGAGCCCGATGCGGGACTCGATCCCCCTGGGATCATGACCTGAGCAGAAGGCAGACGCTTAACCAACTGCACCACCCAGGCATCCCTATTTTGTTAAATTTTTAAGCAACCAGAGTGAACTCTTATTTTAAGCATTAAAATCTTCATTTAAAATAAAACTAGCCTAAGAACTACTTTATCTTAATAAGTAGATCTTAATGAATATAATAATTTGATTCTTCATTCACAGCTTATCATCACATATAAGGCAGTTGGCTCGGAAATTACATGTTTCTAGAATGCTTGGATTGCTTTCCTCTGGCAGGTGCTGCACTCCTTAAGGTCTCAGTTTCAACAAGCAGCTGAAAAAGGGAAAAGCAGCTCCTGACATCCAGGTAGTGGCCTGGAGCTCACAATGAGGCCTTGGTTTTCCCCACTGGACAAAATCGGAAAAAAACCTACAAAGTCACTCTGTGACTGCAACGAAGGGAGATCAAAATGAGCAAAAAAACAATTCCACTTCATATTCTTGTTTAGCACAGATTAAAACAAGGCACTGTTTGAACTTTGGTCAGGTAGGTGGGATCTATACACACAGGTTTTCCAAATGATTAAAACTATTCGAAAAATATTAGTTACTGTTGCATACACAAAACCTCAGCTATGTACCTATCTGCTTTGAAAACATGCAGAATTTACTTATTTTGATGACTCGAGGACATTTCTATAAACCTGAATTGTTGTCTTACAGTGTAATATAGGAGCTCCTATATTATTTACATTTACTACTACTTGTCCCTATATTGAGATGGTCCCTGGAACTCCTGTTTTTATTTTACTCTTTTTTTTTTTTTAAAGATTTTATTTATTTATTTGAGAGAGAGAATGAGATAGAGATAGAGAGCATGAGAGGGGGGAGGGTCAGAGAGAGAGGCAGACTCCCTGCTGAGCAGGGAGCCCAACGTGGGACTCGATCCCAGGACTCCAGGATCATGACGTGAGCCGAAGGCAGTCGCTTAACCAACTGAGCCACCCAGGCGCCCTTTATTTTACTCTTCTAATGAGTTTTTTTGTCCCCTCACTCACCATTAAGCTATTAGGTGTCAATTCTATCAGCATAAAACTGTCCTTTTTTGGACACAAGAAAGCTAATTTCCCTAAATTCTTTGACTCTACACTTCTCACCACCTCTGCTAGCACCGATCCCAGCTATTCCACCTCCCACCCAGCCTAGTTGGTACTCCTCTCTCACCTTGTCCCTTAAAATCTATTATTGGGGAAATCTTTTAAAGTTAATTTAGATCACTCTTCTAGTCAAAAACCCTGGAAGGCTCCCCATTTCACTCAGAGTCAAAGCTGAAGTCCCTACAGTGGCCCTCTATGGTTGGCCCCCGTTGCCTCGCTCACCCGTCCTCTCGCCTACTCACTCAGCTCCACTGCAGTCTTCAGCAACTCACTGAGGGCCTCTGCTAGAAGGCTCTTTGCCCAGAGCCACTTTTTTTTTTTTTTAAATCTTTATTTAGAAGTAGGCTCCACACCCAATGTGAGGCTTGAACTCAGGACCCTGAGATCAAGAGTTGCAGGCTCTACGGACTGAGCCAGCCAGGCGCCCCTCCCCAGCTTATCATCACATATAAGGCAGTTGGCTTGGAAATTACATGTTTCTAGAATGCTTGGATTGCTTTCCTCTGGCAGGTGCTGCACTCCTAAAGGTCTCAGTTTCAACAAGCAGCTGAAAAAGGGAAAAGCTTCTAATCTTTTGAACTTCTAATCTTTTGAACTCTGCTCAAATGTCATCTTCCCAATGAGGCCTTCACTGAACACCATAACTCTCCACTTACCCCTTTTTTTCATTTTCTTTTTCCATAGTACTTGTCACCTTTCAATATGCTATTTACTATATTTATCTTTTATTATTTTTCTTTCCCCATTAGGATATAAACTCCATAAGGACAGGGGTGTTTGTTTTATTTACTGATGCACCTCAGAACAGAATCTGGCACAGAGTAGATACCCAATAAACATTTGTTGAATGAGTAAATGAACTTTCACTATGATTTTTCTTTCCAATCAAGCAGCATCCAACATTACCGCAAAAAAAAAAAAAAATTACACTTACATAATAACTGCACGCCAGACACTGCTCCAAATGATTTACAGAAATCAACTCGTACATTCTTCACAACAACCCTATGAGATATGTATTATCACCACCCCCACTTTACTGCTGAGAGAGTGTCAGAGAAAAAGCAGTTTGGTTCCAAAGTCCTTGCTTTCAACTACCTTGGCTAAACTGCCTCTAACAACAAAGAAATAGATAAATAATGACACAGGCATAATAGAATATTTTGAATACATTTAAAATGCTGCTTTAGAGGTATATTAAATGGCACGGGGCATTCACATGGTATATTAAGTTTAAAAAGATACATATATGTATGGTTTATTTAATATACTATTCAGAGTAATTACATCTTAAAAGTAATGCTAAGACTTTTAATTTTATTACCTACAATAACATCGCTATGTACTAAAACTAACTACATACATATAAATGAGTATTAAAATGAACCTTTAAAAGTCTATACATAGTGGGGCACCTGGGTGGCTCAGTCTGTTAAGCGTCTGCCTTCGGCTCAGGTCATGATCCCAGGGTCCTGGGATCGAGCCCCGCATCGGGCTCCCTGCTCGGCAGGAAGCCTGCTTCTCCCTCTCCCACTCCCCCTGCTTGTGTTCCCTCTCTTACTGTGTCTCTCTGTCAAATAAATAAGTAAAATCTTAAAATGAAAAAGAGAGAAAAATGGAAAAATACAGCACTGTTCCAGCTGAGAAGACTCAATATAATAAACAGATTATTTCCAAGTAAATGTATAGATGAAATACACACTCTAGGGGCGCCTGGGTGGCTCAGTCGGTTAAGCGTCTGCCTTCAGCTCAGCTCATGTCAAGCCCCATGTCGGGCTCCCTGCTCAGCGGGGAGTCTGCTTCTCCCTCTGCTGCTCCCCCTGCTTGTGCTCGCTCTCTCTCTGTCAAATAGATAAAATCTTAAAAAAAAAATACACACTCTACTCCCATTTTTAACCTTAAAGTAAGTCTATACATGGCAAAAAAATTTAAAGGTATATTCAATATTAGTGGATTTATTCAGAAAAAACAGGCTTATAAATCCTTTGCTACAAAAATGTTATTTGGATATAAAAAACAAGCAGGGCTTGCTTTTTATAAAATGCTCAAGTTATTCTATGCTAATAGTTTGCTTTTTATCACCAACATATTCTGTCAACTCTCTTACTTCTGGTAAACACCTGAGTGACCCTTCCTCAAAAACCCCTAAAAATGACTATTTATTGCTATGGATCTAAAATATTGTTTAAAATAAATATATCTTGTGTTTTAAAAAGTAGGACTTACATTCATGTCCTATCTCATCAGACAGTTCTTAACTTTGTCTTTCCCTTATCATGCTTCAAATTTGGACAATTAAAGCTGTCTTATGCCTAAAACTATCTTTGGGTTTTCTGGAATGGCTAGTAGGTAAAAAAGATTTGCTCCTTTCCTCTATAAAAAGAGTAATATAAATAATCAGGCTTTAGGAGAGCATTGTCCAAATTTAATTAGCTCAAAACTACTTTGAAAAAACTTTGACAGTACAATCAAGGATGTTTCTAGTGCACATCCTACGTGTCTGCAATATCATCCTGACAAAATTATAAAGGTGGGACAGGGATGTGAACCAAAGGGCCAAGGTCCCTTTGAGCACCTCTAAATGGATTTTTTGGTGTTAA